CCCAAAGTGCTGGGATTACAGGCTTGAGCCACTGGGCCCGGTGGCCACATGGATCTTTAGCAATCATGCTGTTGTTTTAAAGTTATTTTGAACTTTGGAAGTCGTTTGAATAGTGGGGCGGTTTTTTTTTTTTTTGGAGACAGTTTCACTTTTGTTGCCAGGCTGGAGTCCAATGACCTGATTTCAGCTCACCACAACCTTCAACTCCCAGGTTCAAGCAATTCTCCTGTCTCAGCCTCCTGAGTAGCTGGCATTACAGGCATGCACCACCATGCCCTGCTAATTTTGTAATTTTTTTTTAAATAGAGATGGGGTTTCTCCATGTTGGTCAGGTTGGTCTTGAACTCCCCACCTCAGGTGATCTGCCCACCTTAGCCTCCCAAAGTGCTGGGATTACAGGCATGAGCCTGGGTGTCGTTTTTTACAGAGAAGCTACAGCTGATTGATGAAGCATATTTGCTCTGTGTGCTCTAGAGCTTTCTATTGAATCAGAAGTTGCCTCAGACTCCTGGGCTCAAGTGATTTGCCTGCCCTGGCCTCCCGAAGTGCTGGGGTTACGGATGTGAGCCATTGTACAGCCTTGGACATTTTGTTGTCAATAGGCATTGCGGATTGGCTTCTCTGGGGAGGCAAATTTGATCCAGCCTTGGAGAGCAGGGCAGGGGCTAGAAACAAGCTTGTATCTGAGCGTGCATCTGGGGTGTCCCAGTGCTAAGGCTGGTGACTTTGTTTTCCTGCACCAAGATGGTTAGTAGCACCAAGGGTGGGTTGGTCTGGTTTTTATTTCTCCCTTCTAAGCTCCTGTGTCTGACCAATAATAATATTATTACATATTCATATCAATAGTTTAATAATTCAATAGTGACACGTCTTTACTTTTGCCTCAGACTCTGGGGCAAGTGCCTCACATATTTTGCCTCATTTAGTCTTCACTAGAACATTAGGACGGTGGGCACTATTCTTCCCACCTTGCAAGTGAGGAAACTGAGGCATAAAGGAATTCCGTAATCTGCTGAAGGATCTACAGTTGGTCTTTTCTCTTCCTTTGTCTCCTTGTTTTTCACTTCAACAATCTGAAAAAACAAAAAAAAGGTGTTTGGGGAATTAGAGTCCCATGAAGTAAGCTGAGAATGGAGGTGTTGATAGGGTGGGGCCTCCAAGAGGGGCTAGTGATGATGGAGATGGGTCAGACCAGATGGGAGGTGGTGGCGGACCTTTGGGCTGATGGTTTAGTGGGAAGAGGCGGTCTCCATTACAGAACCCACAGGCCTCTGGTGTGGTTGGTTTTAGTTCCCTTTATGTTCACAGATCTCACTCCCACACAACAGATTTTGGAACATTTAAAATATATATATATATATATACATATATATATATATATATATTGACTTTTTTGGACTGTGGGATCTACTTGTACCAGTCCAATGTGGAATTGCCCTAGGATGGAAGTGCCTTTCTGATAAAATCACACATTCCATCTCAGGAGCTGGCTTGTGATTTTAAAAGGCAGCTAGGATTTGGGATGTGGCCTAGCTCTCCTTGGACAGTGCAGGGAAATGAAGGGATGGATATAACATTGGCACCAGGTTTAGACATTGGCTTCATAGAGAATTTGCTCTGGGAATTTTGAAACTTGAAACCTGTCATTTTTTGTGCACAGGTAGCTATAGGGTCTTTGTCATTTTTATTTTTTGAGATTGAGCCTCACTCTGCCGTCTAGGCTGGATCTTGGCTCACTGCAACGTCTGCCTCCCAGGTTCAAGTGATTCTCCTGCCTCAGCCTCCAGAGTAGCTGTGATCACAGGCGTGTGCCACCACACCCAGCTAATTTTTGGTATTTTTAGTAGAGACAGGTTTCACCATGTTGGCTAGGCTGGTCTCGAACTCCTGACCTCAGGTGATCCACCTGCCTCGGCCTCCCAAAATGCTGAGATTACAGGCATGAGCCACCGTGCCTGGCCAGTTGAGGGTCTTAACTGAACTCAGGGGACTTTGTAGTGGTTTGCTAGGGTCAGTCTCTGCTCCATTCCATGGCTAACCCCACGATCTCAACCTTGTATTTATTCCATTGGTTCCTCTCCAGCTTCTAGAATGAAGATCGTTAAAAGAAACAAAAAAACTCAACTGTAATAAACCAATTCTTTAGAGTTGCTGCTTATTTTCCTTCCTCTTAGCACACACTGGTTTGAGAAACCCAGGCTGTTAGACAGTTTGGGATCTCGGAAGTATTAGCCTAGTGACCACAACTGTAAGTTGATTCAGGGGTGGAAAAAAGCTGGCAGGCTTTCCAGTGATTGATTTCTTCCCTTGCTTGCTCTACAATCTGGCCTTGGGAACACAGGGCCTATATTTCAGGGTTGAGCTTTGACTGCTTGAGGGGTTGACCTAGTTCACAAGCACCCACCTGTGTGGATTAAATACAACCATTTCCCTTTTTTTTCTTTCTTTTTTGAGACAGAGCCTTCCTCTGTCACCCAGACTGGAGTGCAGTGACATGATCTCGACTCACTGCAACCTCTGCCTTGTGGGTTTCAGCAATTCTGCCTCAGCCTTCTGAGTAGCTGGGACCTACAGGTATGCACCGCCATACCCAACTAATTTTTGTATTTTCAGTAGAGA